ACCACGACCAGCACTACTACTAGTACTACTACTGCTACGACTAGGCCTGCTACCAGGAGCCTGTGTCAAGAAAAAACGCCATTTTGTTTCGGACAATTTCGTGTCCATCAAGCCTATGTCCAGAAAAAAACGCCATTCTGTTACGGACATTTCCGTTTCCATTGGCCCCATGCCCAGAAAGGAGTTCTAATTTCCTCAGGAGAAATCATGGTGTGAGATGCTCCAAAAAGAAAGACAAGTAGGAGGATGTGTGGGCGGAGGACATGTCTGTTTAGAGTGTTCCAGAGGGTTTGTTAAGCATGCGTGTGTGCTTCAAGCATTTCAAAGGAATGGATTTGTTAACGGTATATCCTTACATTTCAACAACCATGCCAATCAGGAGGAGTCCAAACAAGTCGGAGGAGTCATGTTATGGGAAAGAAGTGGGTTTGTGAACAATTACATGTCTTTTTCAAGTTTTTGGTCAGGTCCAACGGTTTGGATGTCTTAATCATATTTCCTTCTGTTTCAACACGCAAAACAGGTCGGAGGAGTCCAAAAACAAATTGGAGGAGTCGTGTTAGGGGACGTCCCAAGAAGCAAAACAACTAGGAGGATGGTTTTTTGAAGTTTCGACTGCAAAGGTTGAATTGAAGGGCCCGCAGGAATGAACTTGTTAACAGCGCATGTCTGCTCCACTTCTTTGAAAGGGTCCTACGGAATGAATTAATCAACCACATTTCCTCCTGTTTCAGGACGCCAAGCAGTTTGGAAGATTCCAATCAAATACGAGGAGTCACGTCATGAGACGCCCCAAGAAGGCAAACAATCAGGAGGATGTCTGGGGAGTTCATAGCGGTTGAAGGGTCCACAGGAATGGACTTGTTCACCACACATGTTTGCTCAAGTTTGCCAGGCCCCAGCGGAATGGATGTGCTAGCCAGCTTTGCTTCTGTTTGAACAAGCAAAACAATTGGGAGAATTCCAAAACAATTAGGAGAAGTCATGTTATGGGACGCCCCAATAAGCAAAACAATTAGGAGGATGTCTGGGGATATTGCTGTTCATAGTGGTTGAAGGGTCCAGAGGAATGGACTTAACCGCACATTTCTGTTTCAAGTGCATATTTCCTTCTGTTTCAACACGCAAAACATTTCGGAGGAGTCCAAAACAACAAATTTGGAGGAGTCGTGTTAGGGGACATCCCCAATAAGCAGAATAGTTGGGAGGATGTTTGGGGGACATTTTTGATTGGAAAGGTTGAAGGGGCCACAAGAATGGACTTGTTAGCCACGCGTGGCTGTTTCAAGTCTCTGAAAGGGTCCAACGGAATGAAATTCTGGACCGTGTTTTTCTGTTTCAACACGCAAAAACATTCGGAAGAGTCCAAACAATCAGGAGGAGTCACATTATGGGACGCCCGAATAAGGAAAACAATCAGGAGGATGTCTGGGGAGTTCATCGTGGTTGAAGGGTCCAGAGGACTAGACATGTCTTAACCACGCATGTTTGTTTCAAGTCTTGGAAAGGCCCTAGCGGAATTGATTGTTGACCATGTTTTCTTCTATTTCATCAACCAAAACAATTAGGAGGAGACCAAAACAATTAGAATAAGACATGTTATGGGACGCCCAAAATCCAAAACAAATAGGAGGATGTCTGGGGAATATTTAAGTTCGTAGTGGCTGAGGGCGACAGGAATGGACTTCACCGCACGTGTCTGTTTCAAGTGTTTGAAAGGGCCCATTCCGGTGGGCCCCTAGACCCAAAGACCCAAACCCTGGTTCAAATTAATACGAGTTTTAACTTTCGTTTTGTTATTCGTACTAGTTCATAGTCTTATTAGCCTACGAACTCTATTAAATGTTACTAAGTGACTCGCCCTCTCGGTCCGTTTTTCCCTTCGCTAGACGATTTCTCCACACGCCCATCCGCGAAAGAGCAAAGCTTTGTCAACACCATTCTCTGTACAACAAACGCCATGGAAACGGAAGGGAGGGGGGGGAGAACCCCCTGCATACCTTAACTTCAAGAGGACAGGACACAGAAGAGATCAGAGGAACGCTGTGCGACGAAAACCGGTTTGAAGAGGGAACAGGAGAACTTGTCACTCTGTCTGCCTCTCTTCCTTCCTGTCCTCCTTTCTTCTTCCTCTTCTCTCCTCCTTTTATCGCGAATGAGATAGGAAGAAATGGAGAGGAAGAACAGGCTAAGGTTGGGACGAAGCAACAGAAAGTTGCCACACCCTTCAATGATGGAACATGAAGGACAGCTACTGGTAGATTCGCGCGCACGGCGTCTTGGATCTTCATGTGCTTGGGCTCCTCGGGCCCTCGCAATCCTCTTCATCGTCTTTCTCTCTCTCGCTTTGCTCTCCATTTCGCTCTCACTCTCTCATTCTCTCATTCTCAAAGTCTCTTATTCTCTCTCCCCATGTGTTGTCTCACTGACGCAAGAGAGAGAGAGAGAGAGAGAGAGAGAGGGAGAGAGAGAGAGAGAGAGAGAGAGCGAGAGAGAGAGAGAGAGAGAGAGAGAGGGAGGGAGGGAGGGAAGAGAGAGAGGAGAGGGAGAGGGCGAGGGAGCAGGGGATGGAGAGGGGAGGGAGAGAGGAGAGGGAGAGGGAGAGGGAGAGGGAGAGGAAGTGGAGGAGGGGAGGGGTGAGGGAGAGGGAGAGGAGAGAGGGAGAAGGGAGAGGGAGAGGGAGAGGGAGAGGGAGAGGGAGAGGGAGAGGGAGAGGGAGAGGGAGAAGGAAGAAAGACTGGGAAAGAGTCGCTCCCCCGCTCTTCCCCTTCGCTGACATTTAACATCAGAGTAGATCAACGAAAAAGCAGCAAGGAAGATAGGAGAAAGTGGGCATAGGCCGGGGCATGACCTCCTTTTTGGTTACTTTTGTATCATTTATCCTTTTTCTTCTCTGTTTGTATGAGACTGCAGCAAAGAAACCTTCTCCACTGCCACTATTGTCAGAAAAGAAGAAGCAAAGAGAAAAGATGAGGAGAGTACCAAAAATGAAAAACGCGTTGGAAAGAGGAGCGGAAGCCCCTCCTTCAATTATCTCTCCCTTTCTATTCAATTCTATTCTTTTTCATGTTTTTCGGTGGTTCACTTTTCCATACTTGGACTTTGACTTGTGAGAAAGCCACGAGGCGAAAGAAGAGTGTCTCCCTCTCTCGCTCGCTTTCTCTCTCTCTCTCTCTCTTTCTCTTTCTCTTTCTCTTTATCTTTCTCTTTCTCTTTTTTTTTTTCTCTCTCTCTCTCTCTTGAAAGAGCGAAAGGCACCCTTTCACTTGGTTCCAAGGATGAATGAGTTTGCTCAGCAAAACCCGATGCTACAAGCAAAGGGCATTTAATGTTTTTTAATACGGAAAGAGGACAAAACCTCACATTATACCTAAAGGTCCATGCCACATAATCCCCATAAGCAACCTTACAAAGGGCCTGTTTAAGGGGGTTGTTAGGTATAATAGCCTGCACTCTTAAGGCGGTTTTGGGAACCCTAAACCCTAAACCCCATAAACCCTATAAACCCTAAACCCTGAGCTCTTTGAGCTCGGAAGGGATGACGAAAAAAGCAACAGGCATCCATATGGGGGTACTCGGGCTCCCTAAGTGCACCCCATAGTTTTTGTCTGCTTCTGATATCTTCCTGGAGGGCTTTCCCGTGCCTGAAGCAGCGCTGCAGCCTGTGCTCGATCGTGTTGGTTCTGGCTTTCAGAGAGAGAAAGAAAGTACGAATGAAAGACCAAGGAGAGAGACAGAGAGATGCAGGATGAGAATTAGGGCTAAGGTTGGAGTGAAAAGTTTGTGTTAGTGTTGGTGTGAGGGTTGAGGCTTGATTCGAGGGAACTTCGTGCTGCAAAGTTTGGCCGCTGATGGCACGGCTGCGGGGAAACTTGCTAAGAGTGCCGTTCACAAGGCCCTGTTCAGTCTGGCAGGTGCTACAAGTGCATATATTTGATTTCTCTGGACCCTCTGGATCCTTTGGCGAACGCGCAAGAATGAAGGCTTCCTAGGGTGAGCGACCGCGCTCTGTGACCGCTGCGTTGTCCTCGCAAGGAACTCCCGGGAGCAGGAGAACGTGCTGGAAGAGCATGCGCAAACTGCCGAGGTCCCGACAAAAAGTAGGTATGTGCCAGAGTTCAACACCACATCCTTGGTTTAGGGCTTCGGGTCCACGGAAACGAAGTGGAAGTGGAGAAAGAATGCACACTGCCTCGATGCGCATTTTGGTGATGGTTTTGACGACCTAAACTTGGACCGCAAAACCCAAAAAAACAGACGAGCATAAGGATTCTACAAATCATGGTTTTCCAGAATCCCCCCTATTTTATGTAGGGGCCCTTATACCCTAACAGCAGGATCCTTGTGTTTACGTGGTTGTATTTGGGACCCTAAACCCTACCTTAAACCCTGAACCCTAAACCACCCCTGGCTGACCAACTTTCAGCCGAGCCGCCACAGTCAGGCCTTTTTCAGGGCCGCGGACGTCGATGCCAAACCTTTCCGGGGGTTAGGGTTTATAGGGTTTAGGGTTTAGGGTTTATAGGGTTCAGGGTTTATAGGGTGTATGGTTTAAGGTTTAGGGCTTGAAGAGACACGGGTAGTGCCTCTGCAAAACTTTGTTCAGCGGTGAAGAAGAATCATATGCGAATTGGTTCTCGCGAAGAGAGAGCACACGCAAACTTAGGCAAGACCAACGCGCGTAGGGGTTTAGTTTGTACGTCGTGCCTTCACAAACATAACCTGGCCAAGCCTGTGCCGTAATTATCGATATAGGCCCAAGTTAAGGAGCTTCTGCTACGCGTAGGAATGAGAGCTGGCGGGGATGGTTTCAAGCAACGCGGCAGAAACCAAGCGAGAACGGGCGCAAAAAGGGGCCTGTTTGGGCAGCAGACCATAAACCTCCGCAAAACCTACATGAAGCTTGCACTTAAAACCTACGTTATGCGCAATACTTGCAAGGTTCACGCTTCACAGCTCATAAGAACAACAACTACGATAATCACATTGACACTGGTCTCTCAAAGGCGATGCCTTCGAGACATCTTCTCCTTCTGATCGGGCCAGAGATGGATGAAGTCTGATGCCCCCAACTCCAGCATGGTGATGATCATGCCTGGACCACGCTTGGAGTTGACCTAAAAGTTCTTATTTTGGGGCCTATGGAATTTTTCTTTTAGTTTTGCCCCTGGGGTTTAGGGGCACCCTCTAATTTTGCCTCGGCCCCGGTCCCCCCCTCCCCCAAAAACCTGTGGGACGCGAGGACACCCCATCCTACTGCTGAACTCGTGTGGTGTTGCAGCATGTGACATATGACATTGGCTTCCTTCGTCGGCGAGGCGCACGCAACACCCCGCGTTGGGCCGGCCCGGCTGCCCCGAGGAAGCACGCAAGCACTTGCAACTCTAAGAAAAAGACTGTACAGGAAAACAACAGCGAACCGAACCGCAAACCGCACGCGCGAAGGAACCGTGTGAACCGTGAACCGTGAACCGCGACAAACACGAACCGCCACTTCGGGAAGGCTGGGTGGAAGGGCTGGAGGCTGGAGGAGCTGGAGGCTGGAGGGGCTGGAGGCTGGAGGGGCTGGAGGCTGGAGGGGCTGGAGGAGGGTGGAGGGGCTGGAGCGGCTGGAGGGGGCTGGAGGGGGCTGGAGGGGCTGAGGGGGGGCTGGGGGGGGCTGGAGGGACAGGGGAGGTGGGCTGGAAACCGAACCGAACCGCAAGCCGTTTGCATGAACCGGAACCGTTCCAGAGTACGTACCCGGAAACCGAAACACTGGCGTTACCGATAGTTGCAAAATGGTCTCTGGGATAGCCCTGTTTTTCTGTTTTAGATGGTCTGGGTTCAAAGTGACGATTCCAAAGCACAGGCTTAGACTCTCTGCAGGACTGAACCGGATTAAGGTCCTGTCCTTCGCTTGGTATACCTCCCAGAGTTCTAGTAAAACTAGGCCATGGGGAAATTACAGATGAATCCACATACTGCATACAAATCGGAGTGCCTTCCGCACGACTTCAAGCACACGTCCGGGCACTTGCATCTACAGCGCTCGCAGAACCACAACAATATGAGTTTCAATACTCCCTTGGAGTGCACATAATCGAAGAGACTCTTAGGCATGACATCCGAGCCGCGAAATCCTCTAGAGCCCTATAGGGAATGCCCTAAGCCCAGCACTTTGGGAGTGGATCGAAGGGTCCATTGTTTTGGTACCCTCAACTTTCCGGAGTATACTACGGCAGCAACAAAACCCACAAAACATGTCCGACAAGATGCATCAACCCCGCAGATATGCGGAACCTGAAAGCAAGGAACCTCGCGACACAAATGCCCCAAAACCTTCAAACCTGAACCTTTTACCCTGAGCCCCGAACCCCAAACCCTGTAAAACCTTAAACCCGAAAAACCCTAAACCCTCAGAGCCTGAACCTCAACCCCCTAAACCCTAAACCCTAAACCCTAAACCCTAAACCCTGAACCCTAAACCCCGGCGCAGTGGTCTTGGCTAAGCAGCTGATCAAGGCCACATCCAGCGCGGACCAGGCCCCGAGGCAGTGCGCCACCGCCCTGGCTGCAGCAACTCGGAAGGGAGGATAGGGTTTAGGGTTTAGGGTTTAGGGTTTAGGGTTTAGGGTTTAGGGTTTAGGGTTTAGGGCTTAGGGCTTAGGGTTTAGGGTTTAGGGTTTAGGGTTTAGGGTTTAGGGTTTAGGGTTTAGGGTTTAGGGTTTAGGGTTCAGGGCTTAGGGCAAATGAGAGTCCAAGAGCCCAAAACCCATGGCCGGTTCTTGCTGTTCTCAGCGCCTAGAGGTATTCGGGATGTTCAAAGTGTGCATTGTGCTGTATGCTCTGGGCTTCAGGGGTCGGCAGTGGGAGTCAACACACTGAGACTCAACGAGCTCCTCACATGAACAAATGGAGATAACTAGACAGAAGTTGACGAAAGTGGGCATTTCCCTTCTGTTTAAGGGGTACTCGGCCTTTGGCCAGGGACAAACTGCCCTACAGAATCGATCAAGGTACCTGGCACGCTCGATACCCTAGGCGGCTTCATCCTCAAACGGGACGACCGGATGCGAGTGCGACGCATTCGGGCAAAAGGAAAGCGCTGGGATCGCCAAGGACTGCTAACAGCAACCCGAAAGGCCGGCGCCCTGCCTCCAATCGACATGCTTGAGCTTTGGTACTCTCCAATACCAGAGTAGAAGCAGAAGGAGCAATTGCAAGAAGTTGACCTCGTGGCAGAAAGTGCTTTTTGTGTCTTGCAGTGGTTCCTGAGCATGTCAAAATCAGCTGCATGCTGCACACCGAGAACCTTGACGAATTCTGCGGCGCTCCAGTCACATGGCCCAGGCTGGGGCCACGACGCCGATCGCAAAGAGAACGAAGGTGAACTGCCGAAAGCGGTTGAAGCAAAGGAAAGGGTTAATTTGGGAGGTTCCTCTTGAGCAAGAAGCAAGAAGTGCATCTCCTTTGCATAAAACCCGATTTAGCGATCAACCCTTGAAGGCAGCAAAGTGGATCCGCCAATCCCGTTTGCGTTTGCCGGTGCGCTCCTGATTGAAAAGGGTCGGCCACGCGATTGGATGCTCTGAAAAGCTTGGCAGGCTGTAAGCGAACCTGGGCTGTCTCATGTCTTCCCTTGACACGCCCATCTGCAGAAGTGTGACCCTGTATCGCCAGCAAGGTCTCCTTAAGCTTTACACTGCAGCTCCCGTCAGTTCATCTGTCTGTCGTCTAGCGCTTTCTTGCCAATGGATACACTGGATCTCATGTACAAACTGCAAGAAAAAAACGGGAAAGACTCGCCCTCTGTGTGCCTCGGTGTCCAACACCAGTTGAGTCTTGGTACTAATTGGCACTAACTGGCCAAGCCGCTTTTGCCATCTCATTCTGATTCTTACCGAAGGTTACAGCTGCTACTTTCCAGATTATGGGCAACTCGTCACCGTCGAGGAGCTGGAAGAGGGAAAACTGGGATTCGCCCAGATGCCCGAAGATGCAGCGCAAGTGAACGGAAAAAGCCTTGGCTGCGGATTGCCTTTCGCATCACTCTCCGGCAGGGTTCAATATTCAGGCGTAAGCGAAGCTCTGAACCCAGTTAGTATACACTCAGCCTTTAGCAGCTTTAGCAGCTTGAAGGTGCCAAGGAGTTCGGGTTGGGGCTTCTTAGACTGCAACTTTGCCTTGGGCCACACGCAAGAAGGCTGAGGCAGCCAAAACTTTATCATGTCCCCACACACACACACACTTTCCGTCTCCTGATCTCGTACTGCATGCAAGCTGCTGTCATGGAGCAGCCTGGCGCACTGCAGTTGCTGCTGCACGCTTAGTCCCAAAGTTTTCGGGTTAAGGACTCCCTAAACCCTAAACCCTAAACCCTAAACCTTAAACCCTAAACCCTAAACCCTAAACCCCATGTTATGCCCGACTCCGGCCTACTATGGCCAGGGTCAATGCCAGCAACAGCAAGGGCCCCACGATGGCCTCTTGCCTCGGATATCCGACTGCTCTCATTTTTGTCTGGGACGTAAACCTTCCAAGCATCGAAGAGGAGATATGCATTTTTAGGGTTTTGGGTTTTGGGGTTTCGGGTTTAGGGCTCAAAATAGCCCCCTTTTGGGGGGGGAAAGCCCCAAGCGGCTAGAAGAGATGCAGAGATGCCCAGACGCGCGATTCCGAATGCTTCCGCAGGTTTTCGCGGCAGTGCAGAACCTATGTGGGAGGTTACTCTTGTAACACGGAGCCTCATACCCCAATAAGGCCCCTAAAGAATCAACCGTGTGGTCAGGCGCCGTGATCAATGACGGTACGGCATGGCAAACCGGCTACCTCGAGTACCGACAAAACCCTTTCAACAAAGACATCTGGCCAGATATCTGGCTGATCATATTCGGAAACCACGAGCCATGACAGGTGGATGACTTGGCAAATAGCTCCACAGCAGCGATGGCATTTGCATGCATTTGCAGTTGGGATGCCAGCTGCATCTGGGTGGAGAGTTTGCAGACGGCCCTGGCAGATCCACGGGCATCATCTGAATCTGTCACGGCTTCAGAACGTGTTGCAACACGTCTTTTACAAGTAGACGTCCTTGTCAAGCTCCGTTCTTCACGGCGGTTGCAGGCGACACGATAGCTAAAATTCAACAGCAAGCTTGTGAGGAAACCGGCAGCATGCCTGACAGCGGATGGTCGAATGTCGCTACCTGCGAGGTCACAACAGCACCACTGCAAAGTGTTCGGCAATTTAGCCGTTGCAGTGATGTGTGCCGGCTCTGCTTTCCTTCGAGGTGTCACTAGCTTTGCTAGCTGTCCCAGTAAAAGGTGCATCTGGCAGTACTGTGCACATCAACAGTTGCGCATATACTGTGTAATATGAAGTAAAATGTATAATTTACTATGAAACAGAATACAGGATATATAGATATATCAGATGTAATACGCAAAATAAAATTTAGTATATATAACATATAATTTATGATACATAATTCATGCTATGAAAGATATAATGCGCAACATATAAATCTCCAACTCCAGGTGTCGCAGCAAGGGTCGCCTGCGACTGCAGCTCCACGTCCCCGTTGCTGCAATCGGGCCGCTCGTAGGAAACACTCTTCTCGTGGTAGTGCCTGCGCGGGACGGGCTTAGTGTTGATGATTCCCTAAACCCTAAACCCTAAACCCTAAACCCTAAACCCCGTTTGGGACAGGGTCTGCAGCTGTAAGGCCTGCGCCTTGCCTTAGAAATTATGCCACATAGAAGTTTTTTAATCCTCTAGACATGGTTGCCATGGGGGGGAGGGGACCGATATGAGGTTTCCTAGCTACAAAAAGCCAGGTAGAACCAGTAACTAGCTACAAAGAAGCAGATAGAAGCCTGCAAAGATGGCCGATGATGAGTGACACCACCGTGGCGCAAACGAAAGCTGCGAAACCTGCGCAGGTTCTCAGAGGGGGGAAGGAGCAGCTTTCAGTTTGGCATTGTTTGCTCGTTTATGGTTATTACTGTTGATATGTATTAACCAATTAATTGCTATCGTTCGCGCTTCTTACTACTGTTGCAGATGAATATTGCAACTGTTGACATTGGCATGCTTCGTACTGAAACACGTTCCACAGAGTTGCCTCATGAACCGCACAGCACCATCACTGCAACATCTTATCAAACAGCTCTCCAGCTTCGTGGCTGCTCCTTCATCAAACTAAAGACCAAACATCAACAAACTGCAAAAAACTTCCTGTCAAAGCCTTTGAAACAGCGGCGCAAGGACCAAACTCAAGTTGCACGTAGTAGGCGGAATCGATTTTGGCCCCAAAAGGCAAAATGGCGGAATCGATTTTGGCCCCAAAAGGCAAAATTGCCACCATGATCCCCAAAATAGCCCTAAACCCTAACCCTAAACCCTAAACCCTAAACCCTAAACCCTAAACCCTAAACCCTAAACCCTAAACCCTAAACCCTAAACCCTCTCAACTCGCGGCACCTAGCTCCTCGTTGGTTCTCAAGACCATCCGCATGGGATCCGAGGACGGCTTAGACGATGGAGACGTGCCCATGATCTGCAGGGGCTCGGCGGGCTTCGGAGTGGAGAGCTCTCATTGAGACAAGGGGTTTAGGGTTTAGGGTTTAGGGTTTAGGGTTTAGGGTTTAGGGTTGAGGGTTGAGGGTTGAGGGTTTAGGGTTTAGGGTTTAGGGGGGTTTAGGGTTTAGGGGGGTTTAGGGTTTAGGGGGGTTTAGGGTTTAGAAACTGCTTTGCATCGTTTGTGAGCAGCAATCACGTGCATTCACAGCTGGCCATGCCGAAAGAGCCCGGCCCCCGCCTCGAGATGAAAAACGCCGCTGAGAAATTGGACGGTGAAGACGTCCACGAGCCTCTGCGGGTGGCCACTGTCTCATGGAAAGTAGATAAACTTGGTAGCCCAGGAACCATGCAGGAATAAGGGCGCCCTTTTTTGGTGTTGGTTACTGGTCTAAGGGAACCTTGAACCAAAAAGACGGAAAAGGCTTGCAAGTAGATCAACCTGAACCAGTGACATGCCACACCCATCCTGTTTAGGGTTTAGGGTTTAGGGTTTAGGGTTTAGGGTTTAGGGTTTAGGGTTTAGGGTTTAGGGTTTAGGGTTTAGGGTTTAGGGTTTAGGGTTTAGGGCATAACAGCAGACATGGGCAGACCCCTTAGGCGCCGACGAGAACTTTCCAATGTCGTCCATCAGCACCTGGGTTGCTTCTTGGGATGTTATACTCACAGTCCTTAAGAGGGACGATAGTAGGGGGTACTACAATCCCTACTAAGGAGTGGTAGCATAAGGTGGAACATCCCAAGTTGCTTCTGTCAAACCAGTCTCAGCATCCAAGTAGCACATGGCTGTCATGTGTTCTTGACCCAGTGCTTTGAAAGCCAGCAGCCCGCCCTATACCTGCAACCCTTAACCATGAATGAACTCTGCAACTGCTTGAGCTGGGAGGCAAGGATAAAATTGCGAAGACGTACAGGAAGGAATCTGGACGGCATGATCCAGCTGACCATCATAAGGATGAGCTTCACATACCTGGGACCGTCATGAGCCTCTAAGTTGCGTATTTCGAGCTTAGGATTCTTTACCTAACCCTAAACCCTAAACTCTAAACCCTAAACCCTAAACCCTAAGCCCTAAACCCTGAACCGGTACCAGACGAGCAAAGTAGACCCTATGCTGGGTTCTGAATGCCAGGCCAGCAACGGTAAGATCGCGGAAAAGCATAGCAACACCCAAGACATTGCTTGGAGATCACTCTCGTAGTACAGCGCGTTGATGGAATAGAACAAGGAGTAAACCATAACCTCAACTGCACCCCTCGATAGCATGCTATGGCTGCTTGTTCTGCCTGCGACATGCTGCGTGCATGCAGTGCCATCTGTGCTGACGCGGAATCTCAACATGCTGTCATCGCTGAACAGCCGCACAGAGCGTTCACAGCAATGTAAAGATGTTGCATGTCCCTTTACACAGGTATATACACATAAACTAGACGTGGGCACAGAGACAGTAGACGCTCAGTTCTGGCATGTAGTGCCCTCCTTGTTGTGCCAAGACGCTGCGTAGGCATTCCATATATAGCTCGGGGCCTGACAGCTCTGTGCACTTGCCAGTGTTCTACTGCCGAATTGACCATCCCATTTCTTCCATATATGGGGGGTTTCCTAAATAGGGGGTACCATATTGGGGTCCTTACTATCAGGGAATCCTACTCTTTGGGTGGGGGTCTAGACTAGAGGTCCCTTATGTCGTATAAACCCCCAATTAAGTAAGAGAGCCAAGTATTGTGAGGTCCTTTTCTGGCTTGAACTTGCCTCCTCCAGGTTCACAAAGGTCTGAGCCATGAGGAGGTAGTTTGACCTGAGCCAACACAAGTGCAGACTGTGCGTGCAGACTTTGCTGTCCCTTGAGATTGATGCTCTCTCGCGAGCAAGGGCGCCGAGGTTTAGGAAGTCAAAAATCAGCTCAGCTTAAGCCCCGGACTTGAAACACTCTTGACCTCTCTTGGCTTACTTAGCAGCATCGCAGCCCCTGGGCTGCAAAGAATTTAACAAACACCTGCGAACGATGCCTGGCGGTAGAAATTGCGTAGCTCCGAAAGTGCCAGAAAGTCGGAAGCTGAACCGACATACCAAGGCTGTTGCCGATGTAAGCCCCTGACCCCAGCAAGAAGAAGAGACAAGCAATAATGGCCAAGGGCAGAAGCACCTGAGCGGCATGAAATGTAGGGCCGGTACCATTCTGTGCCTTGCAGAAGTTCATGAGGCGCGATACATTTCACGATTCCCCGGCTTTCTTCTCACAACCTACATCTTCAGAACAGCTTCTGATTCTAAATCTCTGAATCCCAATGTCGAGGCGCAGCTAGCCCTCTTGGCACGCAGGTGGACTCGCACAGGGCATCTGCGTACCAAAACTGGCATGGCCTGCATCTTTGGGTTTTCAGGCTGAAGGTTCCAGTGACCTTCTAACCCTAAACCCTAAACCCTAAACCCTAGACTCTGTAAACCCTTCGCCCTTCTAGAATGTAGAGACGTGAATGCAGTAACAGGATGCTACAGTATCCAAGTTCTGCTGCATACACACATACAACCCACACAGAGGCCGCAGGAACAGAGCGGGTTCCCGCGAGTGTTCTGAGAGCTTGCCCACGTTCAGTTGGATTGGATGGTAACAGTTGCAGTAAGGACACCGGCACCCGGTGAAACTGAAGACCTCCAATCACAAGAAGTTGCCGCCTGCGATAGCTCCACCAGATAGCAAAAGGTAACGCGGTCAAAGCCGTGCCCAGCGCAATCCAGCAGCCTGAGGAGTGGGTGTGTCTTATTCAGGGTTTAGGGTTTAGAGTTCAGGGTTTAGGGCTCAAGGTTAGGAATCTGAAGGTTAGAGCTTTAGCAGCGTGCAGGGCAGGCCCGAAAGCTGATACCCGCTCCATCTGCAGTGACCATTCGAGGGCATTGTTCCAAATTCTAGCTTTGTGTGCCAAACTCCTGAAAGCAAAAGATTTCCCCACAAGGGACCTGCTCTTCGAACAACCCGGAAACTCATCGGGCTCAGAACTCCAAGAATCTGATTCCCAAAGCGCTACACCCTCAATGACAGGATCTTCTCTTAAAAAGGAGAAGTTGCAGAAGCAAAAAACGTGATAGCCGGGCCGCAGGTCTCACCAAACTCTGGCAGGATAAGTCGTCGGCCTGGCTCGCTCAAGAGGCAGGCGCGTTAACCCGCATGAAACCCTACATCCTAAACCCTATAACCCCTAACCCCTAAACCCTATAACCCCTAAAGTTCCTTGTGGCAGTTGCATGTGAACCTGGGCTGCAGCAGGCGCAAGCTAGAGCAGCTTTTGGTACTTTGGTAGCTTCAGAATTTCCGGCCTGTGTATTGGTAGACCTCCTGCCCACGAGGAACTGGACAGACCTGCGTCTGCAGTCCCTTCATCCAGTCTGCAAGGCCTCAGAGAACAGATTTTTTCTGAGGACCGGGAATGTCCAGGAGTCAAAGTTGTGACCAGTTTTAACTTTAACCAGTTTTACTGTTTAGGTTAGGGTTTAGGGTTTAGGGATTAGGGTTTGGGGTAGTTGCCGGGTAGTTATGAATGGTACCGGGCAGCTGTCGTTCCAAGCTGCAGCGACGCGATTTTCCACGAGGCCTGGTGGGAGGTTCGAAATTCTCCAGCTAGCAGGCAGCTATCGGCATTTACGAAACAGCTCCGGTCTCTGCTCAACTCAGGGATACCTTCATCAGTACATTATGAGCATGTGGACATGGTGACTTTCGTGATGCGAGAGGATCCAGCCTCAAGTTGTCCGCAACGAATCATACCCACATGCGCCGTCGCAGATACTGCAACACTTGATTCTAAATCTGGCGGTACCACGCCAAACCTCAAGCATTGCTACTGTCTCTGCAGCTTGCTGCTATGGCCAACTCTTCGGGCAGCTTCGTGTCCCTGACCCTTGTCCGGCGCCAGAAGCCCGAACCCCCCTTCACTCAAGCAACCTTACATGGGGGTTTCCTAAAAATGAGGAGTACTGTACCTTATTGGGGTCCTTATTGTAAGGGAAGCCTACTATTCGGGGATCAAAATTGGGGGTCCCCTATTTTCGTAAACCCCTGCATCACTTCACATCCTAAGGTCCCAACCCTAAACCCTAAATTAAACCCTAAACCCTAAACCCTACACACTAAACCCTAAACATAAACCTTAAACCCCAAACCCGAGACCGTAAACCCTAAACCCTAAACCCTGAACCCTAAACACTAAACCCTAAACATAAACCTTAAACCCCAAACCCTAGACCGTAAACCCTAAACCCTAAACCCTATACCCTATACCCTAAACCCTATACCCTAAACCCTAAACCCTAAACCCCACTCGCCTTGCACCACCTCCTGTGTGAAGTTGGCAGTGCCCGCGGGAGGATCCAGCAGCTGCGATGTGGCGCGTAGGAGGCCCAGGAGCAAGGTGGGCTGTGTCCTGGTATGACGAAATGACGAAGGCATCATCAAGTACTGCAATAGGACCGTATAAAAAAAAAAAAAAAACATGCTGGGATCTATACACTATCATAGTATATAGCCATATGGTAAAACAAGTGCAAAGAATCAGGCAAGCATCTGATTGGCAAAAGACCCAACTGAGATCTGCTCCAGCTGGAACTGCGAAAACAAGCCTTCCGTCTGGCATGGGTCAATACGATGACAAAGGCACGGTTTAGGGTTTAGGGTTTAGGGGTTAGGGTTTAGGGTTTAGGGTTCAGACATAAAATCTTCGAACACACTGCGCGAAACTTGTGACTTGTGCTGGCAAGCCACGTGTCACTTGCACAGCTTCAAGGCAAGGCCCGAAGCACGCTGACGAGTACAACCTGGGCGCCCCACGTCAAGATTCCAGCTCTTCACTTCGAAACGTCTGATTTTTTTGTTTCGCTGCTTGGGTGCCAAAAACGCTGGTTTAACTACATGCGGCCAGGCATGTCATGAGGGGGGTCTGAATGGTAGCTGGGACGAGCTGAAGAGACCGCACTCCGTCAAGAAGCTCTGCCCTTTGCCAGTAGCCAGAACCCTAAACCCTAAACCCTGAACCCCAAACCCTAAACCCTAAACCCTGGCTACAGCACTTGCAGCTTTTCAGGCAGATCTGCGCAGCTTCTGTTGCTGTCCTCAGCTGAAACTCTCGACGAGATGCTGCGGGCCGGGTACCTTGCTGTATTTCGCCGCATCCACACCGGCAGTGACGTTGGCCTTATTTCACATGGGGGGGGGGGGGGGTGTGTGGGGGCGGCAGTGTTCTCACTTGATGTTCGGTCATCTCAGCGAAATTCTAAACCCAACCACTGAATCGATGCCCTGTAGAGGTGTCCCTAAACCCGAAACCCTAAACCCTGTAGAAGTGGCTCATGCTCATGCCGAACCCAACACACTGAGCCTGGCCGGATCTGCAGCCCAGGGCGCTCCCAGCTTCACGTCCCGGAGGCTCAGGTTCACGCCTAGGGTGGCCCGTCAAAGCCACATTAAAAATAGTCTATGATCCTATCAAACCCTACACCCTAAACCCTAAACCCTAAACCCAAAACCCTAACCCCTAAACCCCAATAAGGGAAGATATATGAAAAATATCCCAAGGGCCTACCTAGATGCGGAAGAGCTCCGAGAAGGGGCTGCTGGAGTTTCCAGGGCCTTCCGGAGTCCACCCGGGTTGCTTCTGGGTATCCTTTTGTCTGAGGGTTTAGGGTTTAGGGTTTAGGGTTTAGGGTTTAGGGTTTAGGGTTTAGGGTTTAGGGTTTAGGGTTTAGGGTTTAGGGCTTCGGGCTTAGGGTTAAGGGTTTAGGGTGAGGATGCTCATCCAGCTCCGACCGCGGCTTCGGGGGCAGTCTGTGTGTAGGGGGTGCGGTAATCTACCTTGCATGGTGCCTTGCTGCCGACACTCTCTACAGAACCTGCGACTGCGATACAGGCCTTTAAAAAGGCCAATCCCCAAGAAATCAGCTGCACCTCTGAAGGAGATGTTGAAGATCGGCCGGACAAGAAACTGAGATACCGAGATGTTTGCCGCCTGAGAGGTGGGCTCCCGAGCATGCGCCACAGCACTCGAAACTCGCCACTGGCCACACCATAAACCCTAAACCCTAAACCCTAAACCCTAAAGCCTAAAGCCTCAGCCCTAAACACAGAGCACCTGGGCCCTGGGCTAACGACGCGTTGCGTGCCCAAAGCGGGGTCACCTCAAAGTCGCCTCACCAGCGGGGGCGAAGTATCAGAGCACCAACCAGGCGTTTTGGGGGTCGGGTTTTGGGGGTTTTAGGGTTAGGGTTTAGGGTTTAGGGTTTAGGGTTTAGGGTCTAGGGTCTAGGGTTTAGGGTTTAGGGTTTAGGGTTTAGGGTTTAGGGTTTAGGGTTTAGGGTTTAGGGTTTAGGGTTTAGGGTTTAGGGTTTAGGGTTTAGGGTTTAGGGTTTAGGGTTTAGGGTTTAGGGTTTAGGGTTTCAGGGCACCAACCAGGCGGTTTTGGTGGTTTTACTGGTACAACGCGAGAACACCAAGAAGGCATCAAGTATTCGAACTCTAGGACTTGATAGGGCTTTAGGGTTTATTATAAGGGTTTAGGGTTTAGGGTTTAGGGTACAAGCCTTGAGCAGACAGACAAGTGTCGCCGGACCTCGAGCCCTTTTCGTGGTTTCGTGACTTCCAAAACTTCTTCTGTGACTGAGACAAAGAGCAGCTGCAACCCTGAACTCAAGCGACATTGAGCATCCAAGAGGCTTGAGTTCCAAACAGCTTCGAAGACACTTGCACCCAGGCTTGTAGAAGAATTCGTCTCCATCGCGCAATGGGTCTCATTGCCCGCAATGCAAACCTAAGACTGCTAGCAAGTGCCACATGGTTACGAGCATGGCAATGGAAAACGCGTAGCTGCTAGAACCATTCCAAGTGTTTTCAGCAACCTGCACATACACTGTTGCGACCTGCTAATCCTACTGGCTCTTTGTACCAGGGACGTCGGCACACTTTGCTTGATTGGGGCGATACGACTATGAATGAAGTCTGGGTCCCCAATTCCACGAAGATTTGCCATGGTGCTGGGAGCTTGTAGCACGTGGGCCCCTCGCCAACGATACAGCGATTGCCGACGAGTTTCTCGTAGACCTTGCTGCAACTTCCGTTCCCCCCAAGGCACATGCCAACTCACTTGAATTCATGTCTCCTCCACTCACGCTGCCAACATTCTTCTGAGTCCTTCCACTCATGCTGCCAACATTCTTCTGAGTCCAGGCACCCCCTTGGGCTGCAGGAACTGCTCCTGAAAACTGGTTCGCACATCACTCCCTCTGCACAGTGGGGGTGTAGGTTTTCATTGTCTGACTGCGGCCACTGGACGTTGGATGCAGGTTGTTGGACTATGTCATAGTACGTGACGGCGGACACGGGACACGGGACATAAGTTTTGGTCCCTAAACACACAGTAAATAAAAACCTAAGACCGTCTAAGAACCCAAAGCCCCGAACCCTGTTGTACCTGGAAACCTAAATGCCTAAATGTTTTCTACCCGACGCCCTGTACAGGACTTAACCTAAATCCACGATCCTAAAACACGAAGCCCTAAAACCCCGAACCCGGAGCCCCCAAAACCCACCGCCCCCCCCCCCCCCCCCCCCTCCCCCTCCAAACCCCCTATTCCCTAAACGCACCTAAAACGTTACCAGCCTCACAAACCCTAAACAAACCTAAGCCCTACAAACCCTAAAGCTCCGAAACCCGCTTAGTGGCCTCAACCCTATAACGCCCTAAACACTAGAATCCGAAGCCTTGTGCAAAGCCCTTAATCCTAAAACCCTAAACCCTATAAACCGTGCACCTTCTCCCTCAACACTCAACCCTAGCAGAATTTCAGTGCCACCATGGGGGCTCGTCAGCAAGTCAACGCTGATACATCGATGGCCCTCTAGAATTGAACTGCTCACATGCCAGCAACGTCATTCAGACTGTGCTGTGCATAGAGACAACCAATGATTAAGCTTACGATTTACAAGAACAAATAGCCTGGTACAATCAGAATTGAACGGGCTTGGTCCTGAACATTGCTACGAATCAAACCCTAAACCCTAAACCCTAAACCCTAAACCAGGTCTTGAAACTTCAAGCAAGGCAACTGCGGGGCTTTTCTCCTGCAGTCCAGCGATGCCGTGTGTTAGTGGATGCTGCGTCCAATCCACCCAGTTCTGTCTTGGCCACGGTGCATCGTGCGAGTAGTTCCTGAGAAGGTCGACAGAATATCTTATCAAGCATCTTGGGCTCCCTAAACCCTAAACCCTAAACCCTAAACCCTAAACCCTAAACCCTAAACCCTAAACCCTAACCCCTAAACCCTAAACCCTAAACCCTAAACCCTAAACCTCCATAGACGAACTGGAATTCGAGGGCAAGTCGTGCACCACGGTTCGTCGCAAGATATTCTGACTGGCAAGCAGACGGTGCAACAAACACTCAGCAGGACGTGACCATTTAAGTGAACTGTGGGACTACTACTGCTGCAAGCACCCCAAAGCTTCTAGAGCAGCATGAAGCCTTGAGATCCAAACTGTCCCAAGCCAGCCCCACAAGGCCCTGGACTTTGCACACCCTGAACCCTAAACCCCAAACCCTAATACCCCAAACCCTAAACCCTAAACCCTAAACCCGCAGCAGACAGGGTTTCACCAGGCCGCGCAAGTCTCGACTCCTCCCAGGTCCTAGGGACAGGTTCCCAGTATTGGAGGCGCCAGGATGGGCGATTGGGCCCAAAAAAATCCCCATAATCAACCCTGAAAAGGGCCTTTCTAGGGGGTTTTTAGGGTATAGCAGCCCCTCCCGGTGGAGGGGCGGTTAGGACGTGGTTAGGTCCGTATGGTCTCCTGAAGGCGGAGTCCTGGTGAGCACGTCGGTGAGCGAGTGCTGCACGCTGACGAGTGCGTCGCCACAGAGGTATTCGGAAAGCTTGTCATTCACGAGACTCCTTTGTTTGTTGCGATCGAATCCCTGAACTGATGCAGTACACATGGCACCGACTACCACAATCAGATTTGCAGAAACCTGCAAACAAGCACTGGAAACGCCAGACTATTCCGCGTCTTGCTGACTTCAAGTCTGACTGATCTGAGCAACGACCATGGTCAATACAAATTGCCGTCAAGCATCTGCAGCTTCCCAATGACCCCTGGCCTCAAGTCATTCCATCCATGCACAGCCGAACCCTTCTGCCAAGTAGGAAGCAGTGGGGAGTAAGAAACAAGAGTATACCTTCCCGGCAGCAGTGAGACAGGGGTACACTACCTCAGCCCAAGAAAGTTTCACAAGCCATGCCGGTACCCTAAACCGTAAGCCCTAAATTTCAAAACCCTAAATTTCAAAACCCTAAACCCTAAACCCTAAACCCTAAACCCTAAAGGTGCCGTAGGGCCCCGGCAAGAACTGTGCAAACTTGGTCCAAAAGGTGCCCGAAGTGATCTGCAGCTTCAGATTCAAGGTGCCTTGCAGTGCAACTGCTGAGGGATGAAGCCCTAACCTTGAGGGTTTAGGGTTTAGGGTTTAGGGTTTAGGGTTTAGGGTTTAGGGTTTAGGGTTTAGGGCTCTGCAGGTCACAGCTTCGCAGACGCTTCGTGTGCGTATGCTGGGAACTTGGGCGCACAGGACAACCGAAACACGGCATTCGATTTCCCAAGGGCACTCTACCGGCCGAATAACCCTAAACCCCAAACCCTAAACCCTAAACCCTAAACCCTAAACCCTAAACCCTAAACCCTAAACCCTAAACCCTAAACTCCAGTCCAAACATCCACTGACATCCGCTGTGAAGTCTGAGAATCTTTCGCAGCTGCCCAGGCGGACGTCCAGCGCCTCGCTACTGCCCAGTGGCCAGGGCGGCACGGACCTCAAGGTTGCACTTTTAGGGTTTAGGGTTTATAGGGTTTGTAGGGTTTATAGGGTTTATAGGGTTATAGGGTTATAGGGTTATAGGGTTGAGAGGGTAAAAGGGTTACAGGGTTATAGGGTTTATAGGGTTTAGGGTTGAGGGCTGAGGGTTGAGGGTTTAGGGCCCGCTCTCGTTTCCTTCTCCGCCTTGCAAGCATCCCACAAGATGCAGTTCCCTTCCCTTCCCGCAATGGATTTCTGAGGCCGCCAGACAGCGCTTAGCTCATAATATGAAGCCTGCATAAGGCTACTCTAAACCCTAAACCCCGAAACCCTGAAACAAAAAAACACAACTTCACCCGAAACCCCAAAACTAAAAAACTAAACCCGCCCAGAAAAAAGAAAAACGAAAAAGCCTTTAACCCTAAACCCTAAACCCTAAACCCTAAACCCTAAACCCTAGACCCTAGACCCTAAACCCTAAACCCTAAACCCTAAACCTAAACCCTAAAACCCTAAAACCCTAAAACCCTAAACCCTAAACCCTAAACCCTAAACCCTAAACCCTAAACCCTAAACCCTAAACCCTAAACCCTAAACCCTAAACCCTACCCTAGCCCAGGACTGCCAGGGACCCCGGCACGGTCAGGTCAGCTCTTGCCTGCTCTGTGCTCAGCATGGCAGCTGCCTCACCCTTGAGCCCCAGGGAGGTGTCGTAGTCCACCTGGACACAGCTCAGAAAGGTTTAGGGTTTAGGGTTTAGGATTTTAGGGTTTAGGGTTTAGGGTTTGGGGTTTAGGGTTTAGGGTTTAGGGTTGAGGGTTTGGAGTTTAGGGTTTAGGGCGTTCAGATTACAGAGGGCATTTCAGGGTCCCGACCTGCAGGGCTTCAATGCGATGTAATCCACACAAACCCGATAACCCTCTCGAGTTTGAAGACTTCGAAGACTTAGCGCCCATATACTACTATTTGCTCAAGAGCCCCCTCAAAATATGTAATAATAATCATAATAATCCCTATATTACCCTTATAAGGAAAAAAATATATATATATATATATTTATTTATTTATATATATATATATATTTATATCTATATTTATATATTTATATGTATATTTATATTTATATATTTATATTTATTTATTATCTGTTGTTTTTTTTGAAGGGGGGGGGGGCTTCTGGGCTTGGCGTACTGTAGATTGGCTTGCTGTCACCATAAGATTTCCGTGAAGGGCCTGGCCGGCGCAGTTGAAACCAAGGTCCGTGAGGTGCAACAGGAGCCTCGCGCCCTGGCGCTGCTTACTGTTGGTTAGTAGGGAATGAGGGAAGGAGGTACCCTTTCTCCCCCTATACATATATGTATATATATATATATATATACCCTTTAAGGGACTGTATAGGGTACCTCATTCCCTCATTCCCTCCTAACCAACAGTAGGGCTGAGGGAGGCTTGAGGGTCGGCAAAGGCCGCGCAAAGCTGGCAAAAGCATACAACAAAGCATCTGATCCTCCTGCAGAGACCAAGATGACCACATACTATGATGCATGTATGTGCATTGCGTGCATGTGCGTATACGCTGCTGCTCACATGCAGATTCCAAAGCTCGGCAGCAATGATGGCCACTACGATGTGCGATCCCAACCTGTGGGACTCCGAATCCTGATCGAAAATTTAATGCAGTATGCTATATACACCGAAATATATAAAGATAGAAAGATATCACTATCATAAGCAGCACCTAATCTAACCTAACCTAACCTGGCTGAAGACCAAGGGGCCGCAGAAGTTGGCATGGCGTCGCTGTCCTTGATGCACGGAGATGCTTGATTCTTCTACTAAGCCCTAAACCCGAAAACCCAGTAGCCATATGATAATAAGGGTATACCCTTTCTTGGGTTGGTTACTTTATATGGGGACCTTGAACCGTACCACTGGGCTACCAAGCCCCTAAAGCCTATATAAACTCCAAAGAACCAACTCGAGGGCTATCGGGCGGTTGAATTGTCGCGAAAGAAAAATGTGAGATCGTGAAGATGCGTTCGAAAGGCATACGGGCCCCTAATATAGGCCTCAAATAGTAGGATTCCCTCATAATAAGGACCCCTCTGTTCGGAAACCCCCATAGAAGCCCACAAAGGCTCCCAGGCTCCTAAACTTTCGCCACCTTCAAGTTCCTCCAGGTGCAACGAACAAGGAAAGCACAAATGGCCAGCCCCAATGCATTTACAATACTTGGATGCCATTGGATGCCACCCCTAAACCCGAAACCAAGCCCTAAACCCGAAATCCTAAACCCTAAGCCCTTAACCCTTGACCCTAAACCCTAAACCCTAAACCCTGCTTCAGGAAAGCTTCAAAGGATCCGATCTGCAACTGGTCGCACACCTTGCTCCATGCAACTCCGGCACTTGGGGGCGACAGACACTCGTGCTCGTATAGCATCATCTTAGGACTGGGTACTTGGCATGCACTTCATAAGTGCTACGACTGTAGCTCTCGGCTTTGCTACGGCTGTTCCTACGGTAGGTTCCTGGTAGATGCTGCAAAGACGGCCCCATTTGCTTCTCACGATGAGCTGTGCTTTGCCACGGCCTGCTGAAAGAGGCGTGCCCCAGCGTGGCAACTGTCGGAGGCTGTCGGCGAACTAAGAGCTGCGAGTCCACTTTGTGGCATCGCTTGCTGACAAGTTGATAAACGCAACCATCAGTCAAAAACCAGCTGAACCAGCTGTGACTTCTCACCAAACCTTCCAGCTGTAGTATCAATCCGCTTTCCTTCAGACTTCAAAGCGTCAGCAGCGCAGCATAGAAATGGTACTATTGGAGGGGCAAGCTGTCAACGAGCATGCATCCACTGCTCCCGGTGAAGATTGTATGCGCGTGTACATGGAGAGATACATAAAAACCGATGTATATGAATATACAAATCTGTCGACACATCTATGTATATGTAACAAACAAACAATATGTCTTTCGGTGCAGCGCATCGAACATGCTAGCGTGCTCGAGGTCACAAATTGCAACTTGCCTGCTGAGGTAGGATCAAGGAGTTGCCAGCATTGCGCACAACACAAAAGGTTACAGGACTTCACTGCCATGGGCTCCCAAGGCAACACCAGACCATCAGCGTGCAAAACGTATTCCGAGTCGGCAGGGTCACAGGCACAGCGTGCCCACTACCCCCATCGAAGCCGGCAGTGTTGGAGAAACAGCCGGGTTCATCGTGCCCAACCAGACTAGAGCAGCTAGATGATGGAGAGGTCTCTCTCATGAGGACAAAGCACGGATTCCGCGTTCTTGAACCTATCGGCTCATAAGCCACAGGCCATGCTGTTAGACCTGCTTATTGCAGCCAGAATCCACAGTGCTTTGCCAAACCATCTCAGCTTTGCTGCGGGAGATACCACTACGACTGTTCACTTGCGCTGGACGAGGATGGACAAGCTCTGGCATCTGAGCGGCACTTGATCTCGCCGGGTTCACTCTCAGTCTCGGTCTCTGACTCTGGCTCAGTGGAGGTGTCAGAGATCGTCTCAGAAGGTTCGGAGAGTGCAGGGCGATGTGCAGGCATGCCTCAGGACGCCCGGAGCCCTAGTGACCTAAGAGAGCCAATGCCTCCCGAAACCCTAAACCCTAAACCCTTAACCCTAAACCCTCGAAACCCTCAAACCTGGCGTCGGACCTTCCCGCAACGTTGCAGGGCAACTTGGGGAGCTTCCGTCTGGAGCTGCGACAGCTTCAGCTTCCTCACAGCATTAGGGTTTAGGGTTTAGGGTTTAGGGTTCAGGGTTTAGGGTTTAGGGTTTAAGCATGTCCAAAGCAATCACATTGGGGCTCCTTTGGGAGGGACCTATACTCGGACACGGAAACCAAGAGGATTCCGTGGTTTCGTGCACCTGCCGAAACCCTAAACCCTAAACCCTAAACCCTGAACCCTGAACCCTGAACCCTGAACCCTCAACCCTAGACCCTAGCAGGCCCTGGCATGCACATGGTCAGTGCGGGTGGTCCTCTCCATCTGTGTGGCTGTCGGAGGCCAGGCTTTCCATGGGCTTGATCGGCTCCCTGAAAGGAGTTCGTGACAGGGACTGCTGGGGATCCTTTGTATGGGTTTAGGGTTTAGGGTTTAGGGTCGATCTGGAACCCAGATTTGGAGCTTGACGTATTCTGCCAAGAAGCCAGATCTTCAGCGAGCCGACACTACCTGCGCCCGGACGTGCGAGCACTCTCCGAAACAGGAGATCGCGAGCCGACGACCAAGGCTGATGACTCGAGGCTTCCATGACACTTCCTCCACGCTACGTCGCCTGCGGCTACCATATCATGCCCTAAACCGTAATGCAGCATAATATCGTGGAATCTATTTCGGTGTTCATTCACTTGGAGTTGCCTCTTCCAGCTACTGACGACAGCAAATGTCTCGGCCAGTTGGTGGAACCTCGGAAGGTGAGGGAGAGGCGAACATGGCCATCACCTTCAGACTCAACTTGAGACAATCTTACCAGGCAGGGCACAGCTTTGACATATCATATCCCGCTCACCATCGTAGGCCTCCTGAGATGCCAATGCGCATACAAACACTCTGATCTTGCGGACTCTCGTTTTCCTGCAGTGCTAGAGCACTCCCCCTAACATGAAGGCAGCGAAGCTTCCACAACGAAGCTCGTGTTTTCAGCGCAGAGCCCATTGCAGCGGGCACCTAAACTCGTGGAGCTGGGTCTTGAACTAAACAACACATGTCGAAGGGGGAGAAAGCACTTTGGGAATTCCCCAGATAGGGGACCCCTTTACAGACCCGGAGACCCCGAAAGGGTACAACCCTAAACCCTAAACCCTAAACCCTAAACCCTAAACCCTAAACCTAAACCCTAAACCCTAAAACCTAAACATGGGCTCCCCCCAATAGCGGCAGCCACTATCCCTCGCAGCATTGAGGCGGCCGCAGACGATGCTTTGCACCCTCTTTGAGCTGAAGAAGTCGTGCACGGGATCAAAGACCTGCAAGTTGCGAAGCACATCAAGTTTAGGGTTTAGGATGTAGGGTTTAGTTCATATACACCTTTTGCTTAACTTAGTTGAGTTTACGAATGATATCGCAGAACATCGCGAATGAACAGGATGTGTTTATGTTGCTCATACTTTGTCATTTGTCATTCATTCATTTCCTCACACGGTGCAATCACGAAAAGAAGCATAACCATACATGAATACGACTTATCCGTAGCAAGGGCTCGCTGTAACCAGATGTGTTGAATTTAGGCAAATCAAGTTCTCTCACAACCCAAGTGTTGAAAAAGCAAATGACTAAAACAACGTATGACCATCAGATATTTGAAAAACAAAGTTGATAACTACAAGCGACAAGACAGGGAAGCAGACAGAGAAACAAAGGAGGAACATGAACATATGATATGTACGTATATATGTATATGTATGTATATATATATATATATACATATATGCTCCCCCCCCCACCCACCCACCCACCCCCACCCGGTACCTACCAATTTCATGCTCTTTCCCCTTCTTGAGTACGCAGATTACGTACCAACTCATACATATACAGCCAATACACAGCATGAATACGAATGCGAATATTGTAACACTACTACCTCGACTCCTCAACCACTCGGATATAAAACGTTGAGATTAAGAATTCATAGGCATCTTTAACCTTCACCCTCTGGACATTTCCAAATCTCAACCTCCTATCCTCTGGCATGTTATTTGAAAGTATACTAAAGAATAAGATTGGTTTGTAAAACGCAACCTCTTTAGGATTTAAGGGCGCCCCTCCTTAGGGCTCAGGGAATAGTATTAAGGGAATAAGATCTAGGGAACAAGACAAAGGGATCCCGCTTTGAAAGATTTAGCGATAAGGATTTGGCTAGTAGGAAGGAGAGCCCCTAAATCTTGAGAAAGAGCGCCCCTGAATCCTAACAACACCTATTCCCTGAATCCTTTCCGCTAAACCCTAATGGGTGGGACCTAACTCTTATTCCCTTTATGTTGTTCCCTAAGTCCTATTCCCTACAAGGGGGCGCCCTTAAATCGTAAAGAGGAGAGCCTTTTCGGCTTGCAAAAACATGCTAAAGAGTGGGATCCCTAAATCTTACTGCCTAAATCTTCTTTCCTTCGTTTCATTCAAACGCCAAGGAGAACGGCCCCTAGGAGAGCCCTAAATCCGAAAACAAAACGAACCTTATTGCCTAATTCTTGTCTCTACATCCTAAAGAGCGGGAATCTTAAATCTTATTCCCTGTATTTACCTATTCCCTAAACCCTAAAGAGGGGGGCCTGTACATCTTTAGCCCTTACTAAGTCGTGGGCCTTCCCACCTGTCTACCGCTCAAGTTACATCTTAAAAGCAGATCCTATTCCCTAAATCCTTTTCGCTAAGCCCTAAAGGCTGGGATCCCAAAATCTCTTCCCCAATCTTATTCCCGGAATATATTTCCCGATGTCCTATTCCCTAAGCCACAAAGAGGGGCCCGTAAATCTTGAAGAAGAGAGCCCCTGGGAGAGCCCAAATCCTAAAAAAACAACCCAACTCCCGAAATCTTGTCGCTAAATCCTGAAGAGCGGGATCCCTATATCTTAAGTTCCTACATCTTCTTTCTTCGTGTCATTCACATCCTAAAGAGGAGAGCCTGTAGAAGAGCCATAAATCCGAAAGAAAACGAACCCTATTCCCAAGTCTTGTCGCAAAATCCTAAAGGGCGGCCTATAGGTTTATAAAGGTTAAGGATTGAGGGTTTAAGGTTAGGGTTTCGGGTTTAGGGTTTAGGTTTTAGGGTTTGGGGTTTAGAGTTTAGGCAGAAAGTGAGGCTTAACTGCTTATTCCTGGAAGGGGTTGAGGCTTCTCTTGAAAATCCGAAATGGCTATGTTGGACGACCCCTGGCACCTCCCCACCCCCTGGGAAAGGCTGACACTGAGATCCCCAGATGTTCCGGACAATTTTCCGGACAATTAGGATTAAAGATTGAAGGTGCTGCGGACAGCTTTCCCTCGCATCTTCAGTCTTCAATCTTCAATTCGGTCGGAAACTCTTCGGAAAATTGCGGATTGAAGATCCAAAATCGCCGTGATTTTTTCCGGAACATTTTCCGGTTTGTTTCAAACCGAAAAAGCACATAGTACATTGAATTTCTATGCTTCTTGGAAAATCCTGTGTTTATCTCGCATAGGTGTGTGCCAAGTGCAAGCTCAGTGGAATGCCTCAAGAAAGGTAGGTACGGGAGGGGGGGGGGGGGCACCACATATGTAAAGATGTTTTCCGGTTTGTTTCAATTGAATTTCTATGCTTCTTGGAAAATCCTGTGTTTATCTCGCATGGGTGTGTGAGAAGTGGCAGCCCCCTCCCCACACCCTCAAACCAACAAGCTCAATAGAATGCCTCAAGAAAGGTAGGTACGGGAGGGGGGAGGGGGGGGGCACCATACATGTAAATACATATATATATATATATACATACATAGATGTATCACGTATACGTATACGTAAATGCATATGTAGATACTGAGCAGCACAACGTGTATCAGAAGGTCGTGGTACGGTCCTGTAATTACTGTGTGCTGTGCAAGACTGTGTTGCAAGCGAAACGAAGGCAACCATAGGCTGAAGAGTGAACACAAAACGAGTATGTCAGCACTGCACACACATGCAGTGTCTCTGCTGTAGCAAGCACCTGCTTTGCAAAAGCATGATCCAGCCTCGCCACTCGGCACAACCTTTCGGACGCCTTCCTTTGTGCGCGGCGGCGTGCGGCAGCGCACTGGTGTTGCAATGACCGCCAGCCAGAAAAAATGAAAAACAAAAACGCAGCCGAGGCGCGAAAGAGACCTTGCCAAGGCTCAAGGTTGGCTTTCTGCCAGAGGGCCTCCTTGGATATGTGATCTTGTGCGGATTCGGGGCAGTATAAGCATCTAAATGCCTCGAGTGAGCGGAAGATCGGCGACTGGCTCACCTCTCAGCCCTGCACAGAATGGATGGCTTTGGCAGCTTCGAGTGTTCCTTCGACGGTCAAGAGTCAAGAGTCAAGAGTCACGAAAGATACGAAAGTAGAGAAGCACTTCTTGCCAAGCGATTCCCCATGCCCATCCAGCCCCTCTCCTCCAGCAAAACCTGCTTGAGGGTCTGCCAATCATCCGCATGCTCCTCGTCCTCCTCGTCATCCTCGACGCCCTCCACCTCCTCGACGTCCTCAACGTCCTCGACATCCTCGACGTCCTCGACGTCCTCGACGTCCTCGACGTGAGCTGGCACCGACAAGGACGGCAGGTAAACAGGGCACCTTGCGAGCCACTGAGCGAAAAGCTTCTTTTAGACACGCCCTATAAGCGTTTTGCCGCGTGAGAGACCCTTGCCCAAGAGAAACGTGAGCAGATCAGGCGATTCAGGCTTTTCTACACCGGTGCAGGCAAGTGGCTCCTCCCCTGCAAATTTCAGCCATCCCACACTGCCTGACAAGGGGACAGAACAAGACAGAGCACCCAAGTTCGTCCCTTCACCCCAACTGTGACTTTCCCCCTGCCTCTTCCCGACTTTGTGGAGACACTGCCGCTGGGCTGGCTGCTGGCACCTTCAACTTTTGCACAGTTCGTTAAGATGGCGCCCTTGCTGCGTTAGTTAAGACGACGCCCTTGCTGCAAGCACTTGAGCTAGGATGGCCCTTAAAGCCCTCCGCAAAATATTCCTAAATATGGCCCTCTTTAGCCCAATAAGGGAAAACATCAAGTATCCCAAGGGCCTACCTCGTTAAGAATTTAGGCAAAGCGCATGCAAGGCAGATGAGGTCCCGTTGGCCGTCAGAGCTTTCCTTCCGTGGCCAGACGTGGGAGCCAGGCACAGCGCATTGAAGATCCAGTCAGGTCATGTTGCACATAGTTGGGATATGACCCTAAACCCTAAACCCTAAACCCTAAACCCTAAACCCTAAATTATAAACCCTAAACCCCAAATTTTGGGATACGTTGGGATGCATCCGAGCATCGGCTACGAAAACGTACCTTTCTCGGGTGCGGCCACCGCAGCAAGCACCTGCAGAAACCGAAAGACATCAACAGCTCACTGAACACCCTAAACCCTAAACCCTGAAAACCGTTTCTTAGGACTTATAGTGCCCAAAAAAATATTTCCAAGTACCCCTAAGAACAGCGTGATCAGAGTGGCAAGGTGGCGACTGAGGCAGCCACAGGTGACGTTTTCCCACGCGCCATGTGGCCAGAAAATCTCTTCTTTTGTGTCGTCGTCAAGCTCCTCCGTCTTTGGGTGAAGAGTGTGCATGATTCCGAGGCTTGGGGCAGTCTACGGCTGAGTCTAACCCTAACATGGAACTCGCATTCTGCAGGACAAACAGACCCTGCCCCGGCCTCAGTGCTGTGCACTCGAATATTCCGGGCCTCTGCAATTGAGCAGCCAAGCATGTTGGTATGTCTTGCTTACGTAGCCCCCCTCTTCAAAGACCCCTACTGGGTATACAGCTCTGCTGGCTCTGAGTGTTAATGTTAGACCCGGTTTAGTGAAAGGGGGCACGATTATGCGTTTTGCCGGAATCTTACTGGGGACCCTCCCATTGATTTGGGTGGTCCTCAACTATGCGAAGTGCACGGGCCGGGGATGAAGGGCGGGGGGCCGGGGAGCCAAAAATTAAAGGACCGGATCACCCCACATGCAAATTTATCTATTGAGAAAGAGTAGAGAGGTGCGCGAGTGAGTGCGTGGGTGAGTGTAAGTGTGAATGCGTGCGTCTGTGTGTGTGTGTGTGTCTCTGTGTGTGTGTCTCCGTGTGTGTGTCTCCGTGTGTGTGTGTGTGTGTCTCCGTGTGTGTGTCTCCGTGTGTGTGTCCGTGTGTGTGTCCGTGTGTCCGTGTGTCCGTGTGTCCGTCTGTCCGTTTGTCCGTGTGTCTCTGCTCGTGTGTGTGTGTGTGTGTGTCCGTGTGTGTGTCCGTGTGTGTGTGTGTGTGTGTGTGTGTGTGTCTGTGTCTGTGTCTGTGTCTGTGTCTCTGTCTGTGTCTGTGTCTGTGTGTGTGTGTGTGTCTGTGTCTGTGTCTGTGTCTGTGTCTGTGTCTGTGTCTCTGTCTGCGTCTGCGTCTGTGTCTGTGGCTGTGTCTGTGTCTGTATCTCTCCGTGTGTGTGTGTGTGTCTCTGTGTGTGTCCGTGTCTTGTGTGTGTGTATATGTGTGTGTGTGTGCGTGCGTGCGTGCGCGCGCGTGCGTGCGTGCGCGTGCGTGCGCGTGCGCGTGCGTGTGCGTGTGCGTGTGCGCGCGTGCGCGTGCGCGTGCGCGTGCGCGTGCGCGTCGTGCGCGTGCGCGTGCGCGTGCGCGTGCGCGTGCGCGTGCGCGTGCGCGTGCGCGTGCGCGTGCGCGTGCGCGTGCGCGTGCGCGTGCGCGTGCCGCGTGCGCGTGCGCGTGCGCGTGCGCGTGCGCGTGTGCGCGTGCGGCGCGTGGGCGTGGGCGTGTGCGTGTGCGTGTGCGTGGGCGTGGGCGTGGGCGTGGTGCGTGTGCGTGTGCGTGTGCGTGTGCGTGTGCGTGTGCGTGTGCGTGTGCGTGTGCGTGTGCGTGTGCGTGTGCGTGTGCGTGTGCGTGTGCGTGTGCGTGTGCGTGTGCGTGTGCGTGTGCGTGTGCGTGTGCGTGTGCGTGTGCGTGTGCGTGTGCGTGTGCGTGTGCGTGTGCGTGTGCGTGTGCGTGTGCGTGTGCGTGCGTGTGCGTGTGCGTGTGGGGTGGTGTGTGGTGTGGGTGGGTGTGTGGGTGTGTGTGTGTGTGTGTGTCTGTGTGTCTGTGTGTGTGCGCGGCAAGGGTCCAAGGCCCCGAAGCACCGCGCCTGTCCCACGATATTTGCGAGGTTGTCGACGAGAAAAGACAAAAACATCCCCGTGTCTTCACGCGCGCGGAACTCCGTTACCATGCTATTTGCGGTGTTTTCAAGCGCCCAGATGTCCGTTACCATGCTATTTGCGGTGTTTTTCAAGCGCCCAGATGTCCGTTACCATGCTATTTGCGGTGTTTTCAAGCGCCCAGATGTCCGTTACCATGCTACTTGCGGTGTTTTCGAGCGCCCAGACGTCCGTCACCGTGCTATTTGCGGTGTTTTCAAGCGCCCAGATGTCTGTTACCATGCTATTTGCGGTGTTTTCAAGCGCCCAGATGTCCGTTACCATGCTATTTGCGGTGTTTTCAAGCGCCCAGATGTGCGTTACCATGATATTTGTTTGCGGTGTTTTCATGCGCCCAGATGTCCGTTACCATGCTATTTGCGGTGTTTTCATGCGCCCAGATGTCCGCTACCATTCTATTTGCGGTGTTTTTCAGGCGCCCAGATGTCCGTTACCATGCTATGTGCGGTGTCTTCAGACGCCCAGGGCGTCCGCGGCGTACTACGTCTGTGCTACAAAAAGTCGACTTTCCAGCCACGGAAGCTCCGCGTGTCCGCGGCATACTACGTTTGTACTAGAAAAATCGACTTTCCAGCCACGGAAGCTCCGGATGTCCCCGGCGTACTACTTGGAGGGTCGGTGCAGAGCGCGCGCGCGGCAACGGCCCAGGGCCCCTAAGTGCCGCGCCTGCCAGCACAAACAACACCTGTGTCGCGCCTGCCAGCGTTTCGCGAGCCCCCCAGCGCGCGCGCGGCGAAGGTCCAGGGCCCCGAAGTACCGCGCCTGCCACCATGTTTTCAAGCGCCCAGATGTCCGTTACCATGCTATTTGCGGTGTTTTCAAGCGCCCAGATGTCCGTTACCATGATATTTGTTTGCGGTGTTTTCAAGCGCCCAGATGTCCGTTACCATGCTATTTGCGGTGTTTTCATGCGCCCAGATGTCCGCTACCATGCTATTTGCGGTGTTTTTCAGGCGCCCAGATGTCCGTTACCATGCTATGTGCGGTGTCTTCAGACGCCCAGGGCGTCCGCGGCGTACTACGTCTGTGCTACAAAAAGTCGACTTTCCAGCCACGGAAGCTCCGCGTGTCCGCGGCGTACTACGTTTGTACTAGAAAAATCGACTTTCCAGCCACGGAAGCTCCGGATGTCCCCGGCGTACTACTTAGAGGGTCGGTGCAGAGCGCGCGCGCGGCAACGGCCCAGGGCCCCTATAAGTGCCGCGCCTGCCAGCACAAACAACACCTGTGTCGCGCCTGCCAGCGTTTCGCGAGCCCCCCAGCGCGCGCGCGGCAAAGGTCCAGGGCCCCTAAGTACCGCGCCTGCCAGCACAAACGACACGTGTGTCGCGCCTGTCAGCGTTTCCCGCGGCCCGAGCGCGCGTGCGGCAACGGTCCAGGGCCTCTAAGTACCGCGCCTGCCAGCACAAACGACACGTGTGTCGCGCCTGTCAGCGTTTCCCGCGGCCCGAGCGCGCGTGCGGCAAGGGTCCAGGACCTCCAAGTACCCCTCTAAGTACCGCGCCTGCCAGCACAAACGACACGTGTGTCGCGCCTGCCAGCGTTTCCCGCGGCCCGAGCGCGCGCGCGGCAAAGGTCCAGGGCCTCTAAGTACCGCGCCTGCCAGCATAAACGACACGTGTGTCGCGCCTGCCAGCGTTTCCCGCGGCCCGAGCGCGCGCGGCAAGGGTCCAGGGCCTCTAAGTACCGCGCCTGCCAGCAGAAACGACGCGTGTGTCGCGCCTGCCAGCGTTTCCCGCGGCCCGAGCGCGCGCGCGGCAAGGGTCCAGGGCCTCTAAGTACCGCGCCTGCCAGCACAAACGACACGTGTGTCGCGCCTGTCAGCGTTTCCCGCGGCCCGAGCGCGCGCGCGGCAAAGATCCAGGGCCTCTAAGTACCGCGCCTGCCAGCACAAACGACGCGTGTGTCGCGCCTGCCAGCATTTCCCGCGGCCCGAGCGCGCGCGCGGCAAGGGTCCAGGGCCTCTCAGTACCGCGCCTGCCAGCACAAACGACACGTGTGTCGCGCCTGTCAGCGTTTCCCGCGGCCCGAGCGCGCGCGCGGCAACGGTCCAGGGCCTCTAAGTGCCGCGCCTGCCAGCACAAACGACGCATGTGTCGCGCCTGCCAGCGTTTCCCGCGGCCCGAGCGCGCGCGCGGCAAGGGTCCAGGGCCTCTAAGTACCGCGCCTGCCAGCACAAACGACACGTGTGTCGCGCCTGTCAGCGTTTCCCGCGGCCCGAGCGCGCGCGCGCGGCAACGGTCCAGGGCCTCTAAGTACCGCGCCTGCCAGCACAAACGACGCATGTGTCGCGCCCCGAGCGCGCGCGCGCGGCAAAGGTCCAGGGCCTCCAAGTACCGCGCCTGCCAGCAGACACGTGTGTCGCGTCTGCCAGCGTTTCCCGCGGCCCGAGCGCGCGCGCGGCAAAGATCCAGGGCCTCTAAGTACCGCGCCTGCCAGCACAAACGACGCGTGTGTCGCGCCTGCCGCGCGCGGCAAAGGTCCAGGGCCTCCAAGTACCGCGCCTGCCAGCAGAAACGACACGTGTGTCGCGTCTGCCAGCGTTTCCCGCGGCCCGAGCGCGCGCGCGGCAAAGATCCAGGGCCTCTAAGTACCGCGCCTGCCAGCACAAACGACACGTGTGCCAGCGTTTCCCGCGGCCCGAGCGCGCGCGCGGCAAGGGTCCAGGGCCTCTAAGTACCGCGCCTGCCAGCACAAACGACACGTGTGTCGCGCCTGTCAGCGTTTCCCGCGGCCCGAGCGCGCGCGCGGCAACGGTCCAGGGCCTCTAAGTACCGCGCCTGCCAGCACAAACGACGCATGTGTCGCGCCTGCCAGCGTTTCCCGCGGCCCGAGCGCGCGCGCGGCAAAGGTCCAGGGCCTCCAAGTACCGCGCCTGCCAGCAGACGCCTGTGTCGCGCCTGCCAGCGTTTCCCGCGGCCCGAGCGCGCGCGCGGCAAAGATCCAGGGCCCCTAAGTACCGCGCCTGCCAGCCCAAACGACGCGTGTGTCGCGCCTGCCAGCGTTTCCCGCGGCCCGAGCGCGCGCGCGGCAAGGGTCCAAGGCCCCTCAGTACCGCGCCTGCCAGCAGAAACGACACTGCGTCATGTGCGTGATGTGATGCGTGATGTGCGTGATGTGATTTGATGCGTAACACTACGTCACGTGCGTGATGGTGCGTCATGTGCGTGATGTGATTTCATGCGTGACACCGCGTCATGTGCGTGATGTGATGCGTGATGTGCGTGATCGTGATGTGATGCATGATGCGTGCTGTGCGTGATGGTGCGTCATGAGGAACAGGAAGAGGAGGACGGGGAGGAGGAGGAGGAGGAGAAGGAGGAGGAGGAAGAGGAGGCGGGACAGCCCCAAAAGTAAGAACCCCACACAAAGATGTGGGGAACTAAAAATCTTTTTGAATAAGAAACTCTGGAATTTTCTGGTGTCCGGCTTTATTTAATTTCTTTTTCAAATTTCATCGCGAAACAGGCCCCCGAATAATTTTCCCAGGGAGTAGCCCACGAGCTGCCCTGATTCGCTTTTAGTAAATTGTTTCGGTTACCCGCATTAATCCGCAGCCCCCCTGGCCAGGGAGCTATACAAAGCCTGGAAAGCTTAGACCCTCCAGCTTCAAGGCTTCCCCTCAACCCTCGACCCCTAGCCGCCCTACCCCCAAGCCCCTGGCCCAGATTTCAGGATCCCCGAAAACCCCAAAATTGTTTGGGGGGCGGGGAAGGGGGGGGGGGGGGGGCCCCTGGATACTAAAGCGGGTTCAACATTAAACTGTGAAAAACTTCTGTGCTTCGGTGTAGAGCTTGCCCCTCTGGACCAAGAACCACATGTACTCGAGGTAACTGTATACCTGCAAGACTGCGACAGAAAACCTGCGCGCCATGACTGTTTGCCCCATCGGGCCGATTTTTCAGAAAAAGAAGTCACAAGTCTCCCTCGGGCAACATGCCACAGCTGGGATGCGGGCCCACTTTACGCTGGGCAGGCTGAAAGAGTCCCTTTCCCGAGTCAGGCACGACTTCCTCAGAATCTGTAGGAAGAAACACAAGACTTCAAGCAGGAATCTTGCAGGTGCCAGAGGCTTGCTGAGGCGGCAGCAGAATCGACTTCTGTGGTGGTTTCCCGGCCACCTCTCCCACTAGCAGCTCAAACTGTCCAAAACCCGCAAAACCCATCTAAGGCCATGAAGACCCTAAACACCCAAGCTCTACAAGCCTTACTCAGGGCCATGGAGGGCGCCTGTGGCATGTGAGTAGAGCGCATTCGGCTCTGGCATGCACGGCGGCGAGGGCTCCGCGAGACGTTACATGGCATTATGCGGCAAGCATAGCTGTGCAACCCGGCATCTGGGTCTTCAAGGCTAGCCTTTAGGAGTTCCAGGGTTTAGATGGGTGATGCCGGGTACGACGTTGAGCAATCGACATATCATGAAATCGCATGATGTATCATCTTCTCAAGGGGCCACTGCAGGACATTGAAGTCCGGAGGGGGGGGGAGATGGAGCAGATCTGAAGCTATTCTGATCTGATGTTTGACACCCCCCATTCTTTCAGTCAGGCTGGCTTGGATCTGCCGCTTCTGCCATGGCAAGAGAGGAATGCTGCGATATGCCAGTGACTTCTCCACCCTCTTCATGAATCCTTGCATGTTCCTGGTCATTCTTCAACATTCCTTCAATCAACTGCAAAAGCGTCCCCAGCTGAGCTTGTGGCTAGTCGCTTCACAGAAGCCTTGGCGGGTGAAAAAAGCGTTTCAAGGGCGCCAGCAAGCACATCCCATGATTCCTGGCCCCAATCTCTACGGTTCACATCCCCACGTGGAGTACTGCAACGTGCCTTCACGTGGACCTTGGAAAAGAGTATCTGCACGTCAGCCTGCAGTACAGCGCGTTCGAGGGCAGCTGGTCCATCATTCTATCTTCGGGAAGAGTATGGAAGAATGCTAAACCCTAAACCCTAAACCCTAAACCCTAAACCCTCAACCCTCAACCCTACAGAAGAGGCCTCAAACGGTGGTATAGCACCATCTGGAACTTCCTCAGCTGAAGGCAGCAAGCCAAACCACACAAACATGAAATGTAAGACCCGGGGGAGCCTGCGGCTGATCATCCCATAACTCATCTAGGGTTTAGGGTTTAGGGTTGAGGGTTTGGGGTTTAAGGTTTAGGGTTAGGGTTTAGGGTTTAGGGTTTAGGGTTTAGGGTTTAGGGTTTAGGGTTTAGGGTTTAGGGTTTAGGGTTTAGGGTTTAGGGTTTAGGGTTTAGGGTTTAGGGTTTAGGGTTTATCTAATTAGGGACACTACAAGCACCCCGAATCCCCGATACCATTTGCGGCAGAAGGTCCACCTTCTGGAGTTGGAGCCACCGCTCGAGCACACCTCCAGAGGCTGCTTCGTCCGGTTGAGCTCCTGGGAACCACTGTATATGAGATTCTTCAACTGATGCGCAGCCATCACAACAAAGAAGCTCGTAAACCCTAAACCCTAAACCCTAAACCCTAAACCCTACACCCTAAACCCTGAACCCTGAACCCTAAACCCTAAACTCCGAAAAAATGTTGCTCCGCCCTCGAAACTTGCTTCGATGCTTCGTGCACTGCTGCCATGGGCCTGGCTCATGGGTCTGGAGCTCCAAGGCGGCACCTGCCACGAGGGCAAAGGGTTTAGGGTTTAGGGTTTAGGGTGTAGGGTTTAGGGTTTAGGGATTAGGGTTTAGGGTTTAGGCTTTAGGGCGCAACTGGTTCTGCTTATCATTGGTCTCGTTGTCTTCTTTGTGAAGCGACGCGGTGGTGGGGGCGGCAAGGGTGGGGACATTGAGATGTCAAAGCATTAGAGCGACGCGCTCGGCGACTGCACCAAGCAGAAATACTACGATATCTACGATGCAGGAGGAATATCTAGCTAGCTAGAGGCTTTAATGAATCGTAAATGGATTATCATTCGCGCGATTTGTTGTGCCGCCAAAGCGAGGATCCTTGCTTCAAACCTACCATAGTCCATCGAGGCGCAAATACGAAGTGAGGGGTGGAAACTCCGTGCCGTGAGCAAGCCGTGCGAGTCCGCGCGCAAGCAGCATATGCAGCAGTGCAATCACGCCTGGTGCGTAGAGGGAGTCGAGCCGACACTCGCCGAGCTGTGCCACTTGCGCTCGGAGCATTTCCAGCAGCTGAATCAAGTCTTGTTGGTTTGCTGCGCGAACAAGGCAATCGAGGCCTTGAGAAGCGTGCAACAGCACAGTGTGTCCGATCATCTCAACACACCCAGCGACAACGCGGCGCGCGAGCGAGACGTCATGACGGGCGAGGCCGCACATGATTTGGACGGCGAGTTCTGCATACATCCATTGCTCGTGTTGCACATACTCAGCTCCCAGATTATGTAGAATGGCCCGCTGTCCCGGCGAGAGGGCGTCGAGGGCTTTCGCTGCCCCAACACCGGCATTCAGGCGGACATAGACATCTTGTGCGGGATCTGCTGCCACCTCGAGCAGGCACTTGAGGGCAACATCACCTTCTGGAGAGCCGTGCGGAACCAGCGCCAAAAAGTGACCCAGTCCTTTCACACTGGCAGCTCGCACTGGCATCGTGTTTCCGGACTCGTTGCCCTCGCCTTCGCCTTCACCTTCGCCTTCGCCTTCGCTTTCGCCTTCCTCTTCAACGTACTTTGTGAACTGCATCAGGCTATCGAGAAACATCTTGGCTGCAGCATTCTGAGCGGCGGCATTCGGGTTCTGTGGAAGAGCGCTCCGTCCATTGATCCGGTCGGCTGCTGCCCGAGCTAACGCCTTTGCCACCTCGACAAAGTCATTCTCCTCAGATCCGCTCCGGATGTCACGCAATCGCGCACACAACAGATTGCATGACCTTGCAGCATTCTTCTCCACAGCGAAGCCTCGAGCGCAGATACCGAGCATTATGCCTGATTCCCCTTCTGCATTCCCATCCCAAAGCTCACTTTCTAAGCCGTCGAGCAAAGTTGTGGCAATCTCCGCCGGCTCGTCGAGGCTGGAGCCAAGCTTGATCAACAGAGCCGCGCAGTATGACTTCCCAATGACGAAGACGTCCTCGACAATTCTTCTGCGAGGCGGGTCGTCGTTGACGATGATGTCTGTGAGACGTTGTCGGAAAGCTCCAATCTCCTCTGCCCCCATCTCTTGCACCAACGTGGCCACGCTGTCCAACAACTCCTCGGGCACCCCTTCATTGTAAGGGTGGATAATGGTGTCAAGGATCAGATTCAAGTGATCTCTGGACACTAGGTCAGGTCGCCGGCGCAATACAGCAAGCAAGACTTTGCAAACACAGGTACGACCTCCGAGTTCGTCCCGAAGGTCATTCAAGGTCTCACACAGCCGATGGGGCAGTGCATCCACAAGATTCTTTGAAACACGTCCGGCGAGTGCATCAAGCAGCGCGCATGCGCCATAGGTGACCTTGACATAGTTGCCGTAAAAGTCTGGGGAGCTCCGTGTGTTCCGAAGCAGAGGAACAACCTTTTCCAACAAAGAATCCGCCTGTGCGGTCTCCATGTCACCGACAAGCCCAGTTAACATATACAAGCAAGAAACGCGGTCTGCTTCCGGCATGGTGGCATCATCCAAAAGAGCCGCGAGCTCTGTGAGGTGCCGCGATTCCAGTGACGGCGCGCGCATGCAAGCCCCGAGAGCAAAAGCGGAATACTGAAACCGCACAGCATCCTGCTGCCCAACTCCAGCTCGATGGCGAGCGCCTGCAGGCACGATCACGCTCTCTAGCAAGGTCTTGGTTATCTGCTGAAGCTCTGCAGTGGCCGTAGCCACCATGGCCATGGCGATCAGATCAATCTGCGCTATCGATCTCCGGATCAAAGTTGAACTCCGGTGTCTGAATTGGTTAACGGGCTCCAGTAGTCTCTAATCGGATTGGTACATCCTTATTGGAATGACTCAATCGTTTATGATCAAATCGACAAAGAGGTGCCCGTAGAGCTCTAGGCACGAAGCCACAGACGCTTTTGCGAGAATCGTTTACTGAAATCTAGATCATGCTAGGTCTAACAAAAGATGATGAGTGTTATCATGATCAAGATCCCTATCCACACACCCTCTGAGCCCTGTAAGCCCTGTAGACCTATAACCCTGTAAACCCTGTAAACCCTCCCTTGAGCGGCCCTATGCAACTCCAGAAATGTTCCCTGCTCAACGACTCACGTTCCTGTAAGGAATGCTCCAACCCCTCCACACCCTATAAACCCTCTAAACCCTCTACATCCTGGAAAGCACGAAGATTCGATACCCTAAACCGCAAACCCCAAACCCCAAATCCCAAACCCAAACCCCAAACCCTACACCTTGAACCCTAACCGCAACCGCATGAGAGGCTCCCTGCCTCCGAACAGCGCTAGTGCGCACAGGAGCCACATGGGGCGGCTCATTGCTCATGGACCGGGTTGAGCTATCAGGATTTTCGGGTTTAGGGTTTAGGGTTTAGGGTTTAGGGTTTAGGGTTTAGGGGTTGGGGGGTTCGGCATGCGGGGGTTAAGGGTTTAGGGGCCTGTAAGGCCTTACAATCACCATAGTCGCCCCCACAAAGTGTCTGCACGGAGGCTTAGAGGGTTTACACTTTACCGCCATGCAAGCCATCTCACAACAACAAAGGGGTATGGCAGAAGAATGGCAGCTTACTCGACATGAAGGTCTCATGGATGCTTGAACCCCTTACACACACCGGAAAATACTCCAACAAGAGAGAACAACAGTAGGCTAGACAGTAGGGAATACCCGATGAACGTTGCCTCGCTTGCGCACTCGAAGTCTGCAAACTTTGTGCTTCAAGTGCCGGCGGGTGAAAAGGCAAAGCAGTGGTTGTCTTGTGCGCAACAATGAGGCCATGGATGGATCCACAAGGAACTTCCCTGCTACCTGCAGAACGTGTATTTGCGACTTGAGTTGTTCAGGGTTTTAGGAGTCGAGTAGAAATCTGGAGGCATCAGAAAACTCATGATCACCCCTGGGGTCGTGGAGTGTCGCGAAGCCAAGAACGGCGGCCTGTGTGCCTCGTGTGTTTCTGCTGCACAACTCAGGCTTGTATCAAGGGACTAAAGGAGGCACCGTTACAAGGGACCTTAGTGGATACATTGGGCCTACTTAGGTCTATCGGGACTATATAAGGAATATTCAGAGGTGGGATGAAGTAAGGGCCCCTGGTCCCTCCTTACGTCCCTCAATTGTACCGCGCATACAACATCAAGTCGTCAGTTCCGCGGCTTGTCGCGCTGGCGTGCAGCTGCCACTTGTGAGCAACCGTGTGGGTGTGCAGCTCGGGCAGTGGGGGCGGTGCACAGCAAACTGAAAGCCCCTTGGCTTACAGAAAGAACACCTCAGCAAGAGCGGTAAGGAGGCAATTTTCAACGCTCACTTCATCTCCCTAAACCCTAAACCCTCAACCGTAAACTGAGTCGGAGTTCTAGTCGGAAGCATTCCATAGAACGAATGACAAAAGCCGACTGGTGCCTCCACACCTGCAAAATGGCCATTTCCCAAAATAAAGGGTTTAGGGTTTAGGGTTTAGGGTTTAGGGTTTAGGGTTTAGGGTTTAGGGTTTAGGGTTTAGGGTTTAGGGTTTAGGGCACCCCTATTCACAACCAGTTGCCACCAAAAAGGGTAGTCCTTATTCTTCTACAGAATGGAAATTTCCCCCGAATAATAGGGTACCCCTTTTACTACCCCCGAAAAAGGTACTCCTTATTCTTGTAGGAGCCCCCAAAAGGTACCCTAATCTTGGGAAACGCAGCCCCACTGGGAAAGTTCCCATCACTTGAGCGGCAACGGCACACCTGAGCGAGAAGCTTGCGGCATCTTACTGTGAGTTTGTAGGAAATGGGGGAATGAGGTACCCTATATAATCCCTCAAAGGGGATATACAGGGCCCGAATTCCCTCATTCCGTGCTAACATGTATGGTGCTGCTGCGGTGGGGTGCAGGAAGCGATCGAGTTGCAGTTGCAGCAGTTTTCGAGTCTTCAGTCAGGCAGCTCGTCTAAATCGAATGGTTGGCAGACCCCCCGGCCAAAAAGTGAACTGTCTCACACCTGCGATATCCGAACTACCTCAAGAAATGATCATACCAACCCTAAACCCTAAACCCTAAACCCTAAACCCATATGGCGGCCATGAAGCCCATCATGCCGCAGCTCCTTCGAACGGCCAACACCAGCTGCTCGCAATCCTGCCACGGTATTCTCGGAAAAAAACGACCCTAAACCCTAAACCCTGAACCCTGAACCCTGAAACCCTGAACCCTAAACCCTAAACCCTAAACTGCCCAAGACTGCGACAAAAAAGAACAAGCACCCTAAAATGGTGGTCGGAATATTACTGATGATATTCCCTGATAGTCCCTTTATAACATACTACAGTAACCCCCAAGACCCCATTCTAATATTCAGGCCCCCTGTAGTAGGCGCTCAGCCCTAAACCCTCAATCCCCCGAGGGCCGGCCTTTGGAAACAGGCGGCCAATGATGCCTGCCAGACACAGAAGAGCGCTTCAAAATGGGACTCTGAATGCAAGCCGTTTTGCAACTCACAAGGCAAGAGCAAACTCTGTACTGACGATTCGTCCCATCGGGTTGAGCTTTCCCACGCGATTTCATGATTTCGTGCATCGGAAACCCTTCTGTGTAGGGATGACACCCTGCAAGCTATTTGCACTGAAGTCAGACGGCCCTCCTACTAATTACATCTCCAGCACTATTGGCTTTACTCTTCTGGCTTTCCGTCCTGCGCGAGCCGGCAGAGCTATTTGATGCAAGCCCGTGTCGAGCTTGATATTCACCCACGGTCGCCTATTCTGAAGGAGTTGCCCTTGGAGAGCTTGCCAGGGTAAATCACAAACCTGGCCGGAAGCAGGACTGAACGCACCACCGTTTGGATTGCTACAGGGCATGGAAAGGCGACCAATGAACTGTCCACAAAAAAGGTTGCTTTTGCCTCGTATGCTGTTTCAAATACGTAACACATTATTCATTCTGTTAGGCCCCTGATCCCAGTATCTCGAAGCATCAGGAGCAACACTGCCATCTTTGAATGCAAGTGGCTTCACACCCCGCCATGCTGGCCCTGATGGAACTGCCTGATATCCCTGTCTGTTGCTGGATAAGACTGAGGGGGAAACCCCTGTTCCGCCAGCAGGTTGTAGAAGGACTGGAAATCAAAGTTCCTGGCAAGCTGAGTTTCTTCGGGCGGCTTCCAGTCGCAGCGTTCTCGGGTGCATTATTGAGTCGGATGAAGGTTTAGGGTTTAGGGTTTAGGGTTTAGGGTTTAGGGTTTAGGGTTTAGGGTTTAGGGTTCAGGGTTTAGGGTTTAGGGTTTAGGGTAAGAATGCCAGGCAGGCGGATGGTCAGGCGTCTTGAATGTGCAAATGCAGTAGGATCTGTGGGCCTGGCACGCACTGCCCCTGTGACGCGGCCCGCAATTACTCTACACGCAAACGCCTTGCGAAAAAAAAAACTTGCGGCGGCATGGCCTTGGGCACGTAAAACTCGAAGCCCATTTCCTGCATGCCTCGCCTCATCATCCAGATACTGAAGCCTAACCTCAAACCCCCAAACCTTGTAGATTTTAGCCCTAAACCCGAAACCCCAAACCCTAAACCCTAAACTCTAAACCCTAAACCCTCCCTTGAGCTGGAAGCCGTCACTCTGCCAAGATCCAGGCTCCATCACCTCGTAGTTCGCCTCTCCCATAGAATCATCATGCAATGAGGCTCAATAAGGTATGATAATGTGTACACGCATGCGTGAATGTATAAGCTGAACGGCCTTTTGACCGAAAAACTGCAGATTGGATGTGTCCCCAAACTATTACGGCTTCCAGAACTCATTCAAGTTTGAACACGATTGAAGATACTGCAACATCCTTAAGTTAGAGCGTTCAAGCTCCGTAACTTCGAGACACATCTTGAAATTTCCAGGTCAACGAATTTTGCGGCTTGTTTCACTCTTATGCAGGCTGTGAATTTTGCAAACCGGATCCCTAACCCTAAACCCTAAACCCTAAACCCTAAACCCTAAACCCTAAACCCTAAACCCTGAACCATAAGACTAGCGTCCCGAGCCTGGTACCGAGCTGCTCGCTGCTCTCTGGCTCCCTCCTGCGCAAACTCGCGCAGCGCCTGATCGAAGTGAGAGCTGAGCCCTAAATCCTACACCGGAATTCAACCCTAACCCCTAAACCCTGAACCCGAAACCCTGAACCCTAAACCCTCAACCCTGAACCCTAACCCCTAAATCCTAAAAAACCTTATCACTTCATCCCCAAGCCCTCAGCAGATGGGCAACACAACAGACTACAGGCTCAACCAGAGCCCACACCTTGTCAACGTCAGAACCCTGCACCCTGAACGGCCAAGCTGCTCAACCCTGCGTTCTCAGACTGAGCACTTCCTGAACTACCTGACTTGGCCTGCGATTGCAATATCACCCCGAAGAACGGAATGGGAATGCACCAAGGCCTGCTGAAATGCCAGTATCGCATGTGTAGGCGGAGTGTAGCGGAACTGCCTTGCACAAGGGGACTGAGAGTTGCTACGCAGAGCAGTGCCTCAAAC